GGTATGGTACAGAATAAGGTACAGTATGATACAGTACGGTACGGTACGGTACAGGATATGATATGGTATGGTATGGTACGCTTTACTATAGTGTGGTAAGCTGCAGTATAATGTGACCTGAAGGCATACAAGTATAAAATGGTTGACAAGTACTAATCTGAAACCTAGAGTGGTACTTACTTTGTAATATATGTGTTCTATGTGTCTTAAAAATATACGACACATTTCAGACGAAGTTCCTCGTTCCTCGATATATTTCTGCACTCTTACAATGATGTCTAACACTTTACTTTCGTCTTTTAATCTATTCATAATACAAAACACGACATAGTAAGGGTGGGAGGTAATTAAACAAAATTTCCAATTGATTAATGTGGGAACCTGCTGATTTTTGTGTGTGTTGGTCTGTCTTTGTATTTTTCTATCTTCAAATGTTACAGAGACAGAGATAAGGGCGAAGAGAGAAATGGCAGGCAATTAAGATCAGATATACTTAAACAAGTATTGAACACAGATTGGTATCTTTCTTCAGAATGTAACCATTCCTATTGAAACCCAATGACCACTTCACTGCACAAATCTACCATAGACTATATCACAATTCTGAATCATAATGAATTGTGGGACAGTTTTGACTGAATCAAACAATGATCACAAAGCATGTCAGCTTGTGCAACCTGACATAACATACCCACAATGCATTATAATTTCTTATTGTGATATGGTCTATACCAACTGGGTTGAATGGCTAACTGTTACAAAAAAAATCCAATAAACCGCAAAAGTGACGAGGATGAAACATTTTCGTACCTTTCAACGTACTCATACGAGTGGGCATCACACCCTTGAAGCATTTTAGTGAATTCTTCGTCTAATCTTTCAATTAATGTAAGAACACAACCACGTACTCGGAATGGCGTTTCAACATTCTGAAAAAAACACGCAGATGGGTTACAATAGAAACGGTACTGCTGTATTGAATTAAAACAAGTTCACAGTTCAGGTTCAGTTTTCAGGCTACCTAGTGACAAGTAATGAAATGTTGCAATGTAAACTGACAACATATTCCTTATTTCAATTATTGCCAAACTAAAATCAACAAAATTCCATCATACTTAGACAGAGTACTCATCTCTGGTTACAACACCAGGAAAATTTTAGGAACTCTCATTGATAAGGAAGCATGTGTGTGACAATGTCGATCTCATGTAATTCAACTTGTGGAAAATTAAGTCAAACGGATGCATTCTGCCTCTGTTGTGAGTATGTGTTTGTTACCATAGCAACCAGTGAACTTGTCATTTTTTTATTTACTTACATCTAAGTTTTCAGTTTCCTCTGCAATATTTTCACCAACAATAACATTGCCATTTTCTATCAAAATGTCTAATAGTTCAGAAACAAACATCAAACATCTGGAATAAAAAAAAATGTTAAAACAAGTTCATACAAATACAGGTGCACTGAGCATGGTTTTGTCTTGCAGTATACAAAACTCAAGTAGTATTTGTATTGCTGTGTAGGGTGTAGAGTAATTGAATCAGGTTTGGGGAAAGGGAATTAGGGGGGTGTATTGGTAATATTTTACCTGATAAGATCACCAAGATTTGCATTGATGAGTTTAATGTGTCTTACAAATTGGGTTTAGCAACTGAACTATGGAATATGGGACTATATTCACCATGGACACCACCAGAAATCTGACTATATTGGTCATTCAACATCTTCTTTAGTATAATGCTTTCCCAATCAGTTTCATGCATTTTTAAAACACCACTAGTGCTTATTAACACTTGCCCAGACAACGAACAGTGCAGTTAAAGGGGAACCTTCCAAGCCCAGGGATTGCATCAAAGAATCATGGGACACTATTGTTTATGTTATTTACAAAGTTAATCTATCTTTTGTTATCCATTGTAATTTTAATCTAAGAAAGTAAATTTGTTGTGAGATTAGGCTTAACTGGAAGTGCCCCTTTAACCTCCTCATTTTCAATGATGGATGGTTTGGACCAACAGGCCATTTAACAGGTAGGTAGTTTTTCTGGGGGTTTGTTCATAGGTTTGCAAATGATGAACAAACGTACATTGAACTTGTTATTTTGAACAGGACACGGGGAAACCCCATGTGAATCAAACATGGTTTTAAATACTTAAATTGTGCAAGAAACAATAAATAATCACATACTGCAACAAAGTCTGGGTTTAGTTACTGAACTGAAAATCAGTTGGTCTTACAGCATAGACAGTGAGCATGCAATGAGTGATGGAATGAGGGATTCCAGTGTACAGTAATAATAAAACTTACTTTTCCCACATTTCTGATTTCATGTTGGTGGCAATATTAGGATTATAATCGTATATTGAAGCAATAATTGAAAACAGAATCTTGACGTCAATGCCGAGCATTAAATTATTAGACACAGCGATGGATCTCAATTCTTTTAACAGCTCAATCTGTTCAGAGCGATCAGTTCCTCGCTTGCCCCTGGCGGAAAGGATTTCATTTAATTTCTTAACGACTACTACTGTAGTGATTTCAGTATCCTTTTCAAACATCATCTTGGGTTTCTGCTCATGAAACAAAACAAAAAAGTTTATTATCTTGCGATTAACTGTGCCTGCTCAGAAATATTATTTCATTCAAATGGGTCTACAGCATCTATTTAGTATCCATTGGTAAATGAAACTGGGTACTCTCTGGATGTTTTAAAGCATTCTAAAAAGTGACAATTGAGATCAAATAGCAGAAATTACCCACATGCTATAAAATACTTGAAATTCGCTTTTAATTAATTTCCGCTATTTTCAATGAAGGAGATGATTCAGTGAAAATAAAATCCAGTGAATATACCCTTTTCATATATGTTACATTCAGTACATTTAACTTTATAGTACAACATTATGTAATTTTTACTAATTCACCTTGAGATATTTAGTAAATTTCAACAAAAAATGAAATGACAGAGAGAGCAAAGATGGAAGTTTATGCATTGATTTCAAAAAGAAAATAACAATTTTGAAACTCATCACTGAGCAGCTTCGCCATTATTTTGTTACATACCGATTCAACTCTATATCCTCCTTTGACTTCCTCCCAACCCCCTTCTTCATCATCTTCTTCCTCCTCCTCTTTGCGCTTGCCTTCCCTCTTTTTCCTTTCTCTCTTTTCTTTCTCTTTCTTCTCATCGCCAGCCCCCCTATTTTCAAAAGAGCATATCTGTCATCAGAACTGCATGTTCTATTTTATTATTAAATTTCTGTTTTCTAATTTGCCAATTTTACAACAATTCTTTATGAAGTAAAGGAGCTAGCTACAATAGTGACTTACTTTTTTAAGAACTGACGAGCTACACTAGCACCAGTGTAACCACCCTCCTCTTCAGAACTACTGCTACTATCACCAGAGGAAGAATCCCAGTAAGAATCATCACTTTCATCACCACTGTCCTGTTACCATGGAGAGAAGGGGTAAGTATAGTTACCATGGAGAGAAAAATTGACAAATTTAAAATTCATTAACATGTTCACTAATTTGGAAAAAATTCAAGCTGCTACCAGAAATCGTCAGGAGAGACGTGGAAGAAAATTACAATGCATTAAACTAACCTCAGTTTTCAGAAATTTTACTTTGTCCACCGGTGGAGCTTTGACAACTACTGGTGCTGCTGCTGTTGTTGATTTTTTAAGGAAATCACTTGCAGATATTTCATCATCAGAATCAGAATCCGTATCTGTAAGACAGATTAATTTAAAATCAAACAAGCATTGATAATGTTCCTGTTTGGTATTATCTGTACTCAATCACAATGTTCAGTACAGGTTGCATGTACATATACATGTCTACCAAAAGAACGTTTAACAATTCAACAGAATCAATCTTTGCATTCCAGAGAAACTAGCATGGATACCATAAACAACAAAATGGCCGCCAGTTGGCCATTTTTCACACAACTCAAAAATAAAATAACATGCACATGAGTAAACAGAATATTGCGAATTTTGAAATGGCTGCCAGTCAGCCATTGAATTATTAATCACCTTGTTGTGCATATGCATGTCATTATGTTCTGTCCTTGTGCCATGTTTGAAAAAAAATTGTCAAAAAATGGGAAAATAAGACCTAAATTAATAGTCCCTGTTTTCAGGGGTTGATCAATGCAAGACTTTCACTGCTTGCTCAATATAAATGCAAGGTTTGTAATGGGTGGGTTTTTGAGCCAAAGGAGACAAGTTCACTATGATCATCAGAAAAGAGACAAAACCTGATTCCTACCTTCATCATCACGAACCTCATCTTCTTCACCAGAAGCATCAGGATTCTGCAGAAAAAATTACAAAATCCGTAAGAACGAATTAAAATATGTTTGAATTAAATAAAAATTAGGTTTTGGTTCTCATTCTAGGAAAAATTTAGAAAATGATACAGTGATGAAGTTATAAATATTTTTGAATTAAGATATGTGTTCAATATTCTCATGCATTAAAGATTGATATGGAATGACAAAACACCCCCCCCCCAAACAGAAAACAAACATTTCCTCTTTCTACCATCAGTGGTACACACTTCGACCGTATGTAAAAAAATACAAAAAACATGTTATGCGTAGGTTTCAAACTGATACGCTTGAAGAGAAGCCAATTTGTTGGGGGGTCTGAATGAAACAAACAATGTTATGGTGACAAAGGCTCAAACATGTCAGCAAATTAATTTCTTATTTTATTGAATGTATTTGCTTTTTTTTAATAATACTTACATCAGCAGTAAGAGACGAGATATTTCTTTATTACAACCGTAAAAACAAAAATACATTAGAAAACCAGGAATATTTTGACTGACTGTTCCATTTCGAAAATAACATTAACCATTCGAGTGTCAGATATTTTTCCTGCCAAAAATCAGTGCAAATATTTATCCATTTTATAAAATTTTCACTAAATTTCAACATCATTTTGGACCATACAGACAAGTTCAGATATTGCTTTTAGTTTTTGATGGAAAGGTTTGTTAATTTTTATCAATATTTCATGTGGGGAGGGAGCAGACTACAGAATCAGTTTGTAGATGACGACACAAGTTGAAAATGTCACTGAAAGGGTTAATATTCGATTGCCTGGAGTTAGCTTTTGACAAAAAGTGATAACGTAAAAGACCAGCTACATTAGAAATCATGAATACACATAAACAGATGACCTACCGCTTTATAGTCTGTTATTTGTTTTTCATAGTCCCGGCAATATTTGCGATACTTTTGTCTCAATGTACCTAAAGACTTGGCATTAATCTTGTTGAATTTCTTTTTGTCTTCCCAGCACTAAAGGGAAAAAAAATCATATTTACAACAGAAGTTATAATTAATGAAAATATGCTCACGAACACATGGCCACACTGTGACAGAATACATTAAAGAAAGCTTTTGAAATTATTTTCCAAGTAGTACATTTCATACCTAAGATATACAAACATTCAAGGAAGGCTTATAAATGTATGAAGAAAGTAAGACAATGTAAAACTACAAATTGTGTGGCATTACCTCATTAACAAAGTCCTCTAATTCCACCAAATACTTAATATAAAACCTTGGATGGCCTTCTTTTTCAATTATATTCTTGGCTTTCAGATACACTTTGCAGAGATCTTCAAAGCCAGACAATACTTTGGCGATGTCTTTGATTTTCTTGTGGTTCTTTATCTGTTTGATTGAACTTTTAATTTCATCAAAGCTGAAGAACAGAAAAAGATGAAACAAATGATCCCTATAGACTCTTGAATGAAAAGAAAATACTAAAGACATCTCACTGATGGACAAGTCTAATTTTTTGGGACATTAAATAGCATTTGTGGTAGTACTACAAACTGATTTGAATTTATGCAATAAGATTTCATTGAGGTTCTTGACTGTAATTTTTCTGAAATTTAGTCTTGCAAGGAAATAAACCAAATACTGAAATTTTCTGACAAAATTTTTTAAAATTTACTGTAACTTCATCTACAGTCAAAACCTCTTTGTGTAGCAGCCACCCAAATAACTTCATAAAATTTGGTCAAGTCAAAGTAAAAGTACATGGGGCTGGCAGAATTAGGGTTAAAATGGTCTCTATATAAGCAGGTGATCTTTACATGAAGGTTGGATTCTTTTTTATGGTTAACCAACTCGTACATTTGATATAATATTTGTCCAGGAAATTAATGAGATGGTACTATTGCAACAAAAACGCATTAATTTGAGTTGATTTAAATCAAATAAGCTGGACTTAAAAAATTAAAATTAAAATTAAAATTAAAATTAGAAATTAAAAATTGTTTTATGAACAGAATGCTAATTATTATTTAGGTCTTCAAACAAAGGCGAATCTGCAAAACTATTGCTGAAAGGTTTGAATTTTATAGTTATTTTTGGTTTATTATTTTTATTATATAAGAATTGTTACCAAGTACTTTGATACTGAGATTTTATTGTTTGTGTTGTAGCCCTTTAAGCACCACAATTTGGGTAAATTTCTTCAAATTTTCTGTTATTTTCACTGAATTCAATCTTAATTTTGGACTGAACAGAAAAAATGTGACATTGCATCTAGTTTTTGATCAAAAATTTTGAAATCTTCCTAACATTTCATAAAGAAAAGAACAGCCTATAAATGGAACTATTTTTGTGGATGGTGCCTGAAGTTGATTTTGGTGTTTGAAAGGTTAATTACTAAAAATAAACCATTAATTTAGAAAACTGAATAACCAGTTAACTTTTGAATTTTGCCTAGGACTGAAAACTAATTATTGTTAGAAGACCAATGAAGAGGCAGTACTCTTACCGTTTATCTTTAGCACTTCTGACAACTCGTTTTGTATCTTCTTCTTCATCACTGAACATAAATACTCGGGCAGCTGGTGCCGCAGGTTTCTGTTGTACTGGGGCGATATCATCATCACTTTCATCGGAGGACGACTCCGTACTTGACCCAGTTGCAAAGAAACGTGACATGGTGCCTAAAATTGAAATCACAAAAATCCCATACATAATGATAAATATATTGGGACAGAGTCAACAAGTGCAGAAAAAACTTGATCTCAGGCCCGATTGATGCTCTGGATCGAAACTAAGCACGTGCCGAGATTTCCTGCCTGAACGCTCAGCACGAATCAAAATCACAACCCCAGCAGTGAACTTACGAGAACATATACTGATTCTTACTAGTATGACATGACGATGCAGTGAAGTTATGTATGGTCGGATGCTGTAGTAATGAATGAAATTGAATGCAAACCGTTGCTGCTATAACTGTTTTTCTCTCGTAATGTTACATCATCGTGAAAAAATACATGACTCGTAATAAATACCATAACAGCAAATGAATATAATTACAATATAGCAATTATTATTATCATCATATGCTATAGTTTTCCCCATTTGGGTCAAATAACAGATCAACGAATGAGGGCGTGATTTTGGCATGAAGCAAGGTGGCTCCCAAGCGGGTCCCGACTAACGTGAATGCAACTACTGTAATCCCTCTCCAAACATGAAGGATTAACAATTTCGGCACATGCCAAGATCTCGTAACGTGAACATAGGTAAGTGTGTGAAGCGAGGCTGATTACGTGTAAACCCTTTTCCAAATCCAATATGACACTGTAAAAACCTCAAATTCTGATAGGGGTGATTTATAACGTGCAATAATTGACGACGCATGATCCTTTAAGCCGTAAGCAATATATGCATTTTTGTGTAGATCAGTGTTCTCCCCAGGCCTTTCAAGCACTGCGGGCCCGCGTCGCTTAGACAAACAGCCGCGTCGCTTTTGTTTCGCCCGCAATCCTTGAAATCCTGCCCGCGACGCTTATTCACGTTGTATTGTTTACAAGTGTCAGCCTCGTCTAGCACATCTTTAAAACAATAACATGTATTGATCGAAAGGTAATCCCGCCTTTGTACATAGTTAGCCTTACAAAAACAGTGATAAAAACGGAAGTCTACAAGAAGTTACCAAGTCTATCAAGGGTGCGGAGCTGGCAAACCCAAAATACTAGGGTAGTAATAATTTGCCCATTGCGCCGAGATGGTTTATCCCGAGTTGCTGCACTGCGATTAATTGCGTATTTACT